AAAGAAGCATTAATAATAATTCTTTTTAAAATAGTAATAATAATAATTTTTAAAAAGAAGAATTAATCCTAGTATGGTTTGCCTTAATTATTTCCTGAAATTTACTGACAAAATGATTCCACCAGAGTCTTTACTGAATATACAGAATCCTTCGTCTCACTTTGACCTACAGAGTCAGAATTTTCTGGAGAGAAGCCTAATACTCTGTGTTGTTTTGGAATACTGTAGTGGCCTAGACCTGCTTCGTTAATAAGAAGTACTTTAATATGATAAAGTGTGCATAGCAGTGAGAAGTAGGGGCTTCCAGCTGTCAGATACTGACAGTTCATTTGGCCAAATTTTAATCTATAGAATCAAATGTAAAACACGTGTATTTTTAAATCTTGTGTTTAAATGAACTAATGCATTACTGATGTGTAGGGACTTATGGTGGAAAGTTTAAAAATTGTCATCTGATGAAGTTTTTAACCCATTCATGGACTGTCATAGACTGAAAAGATTTCAATATTGTTTTATTTACCTCTCTCTAGTCTTTAAGACTTAATATGGGTATATACATCAAATACATAGAGTTTTATTTATTTATTGTTTTAAATACAAGTAACCAATACTTGATTCTATTTGTAATTTACTGCCTACACAAAAAGTATTGGCTATAGGGATGCATGAATGGTATTTTCTTATTCCATTTGACACAAATGAGGTTCATGTTTTCATCATGTTCACTTTGTTTTAAAGAATAAGGAAGACATTGTTCTATACTAAGTGTAACTATCGATGTTTTAATCAGCATTTGAAAGCGTGGCATTTTAATTAATAAAGTGAATAAAATCAATCAAATTTACTCATAACCTTTTATTAATGTAGAGTCATGACAGCCTTGGATGCAGAAAACAAAGCATCTTATCTGTGTAAGCACTTTGCCTTTGGATCTCATCAAACATTTAAAGCAGTGCCAAGTTCAGTGAAGAAGCTACAAATAATTTTGACTGATAAAGGATGAAACAGTTAAAGAATTGTGGAAAGTTCATCATTGAAATCTTCTTAAACAATTTTCTAATATTTTACAACTGATATTACAAATAGTATTTATTTGGCACCCACCCTGTACCTGACATTGTACCTGAAGAATAAGATGTCAACCTTAAAAAATATGAATTTATATTATTGTTCCTATTATAAAGATTGAAAGTACATTTATAAAAGTTAACTAACAGAATTACATAGAAATGGCTGGCTGCCAAAATACTTGAAGTCAATTCTATCAGACTTCAAGCTATCTGTGCCATGGCAGGCCTTTCCATCTTGGAACGCTGTGCCTTAAACTAGATTTCTATATCTGAAAAATAAGGAAGATATATTGTTTTATACAACCGATGGCAGGATTTTGTATATCACTGTTTGTGTCATTGGGATATTAGAGGTTTCTACATTATATCATTATCGATAAGTCAAACAGACACAGATGAACAATTCAGTACATACTAGACATAGGTGCTGGAACTGAATAATCGAGTTCAGTTGGATGGCTGATGGTGGGACCCGCCATTAGAGTGGGAGTTTACAGATAAGTAAGGTGTGGAAGCTAGAATTATTTATGTAATAATTATTAGAGTTGGCAACATCAGTATATATGTGTCTTTAGGTTAATATAGATATAGGTAGTTATGTATAGGAATATGTATAGATATACACAAGTTAATATACACATTTATGTCCTTGTCCTTTCAGTAAGAGGGCTTAAAAGCAATGGCATCTCAGTGGCAAGAAACACACTCAACACCCATTTCTTGGTTTCTAATGCCTTTTCTAATAAAGGAAACCAGTGCTCCTTACAGAAATGAATGACTCTAGGACTGGAGCAGTGAATAAGCAAGATGAGCATAGAGTATCTGGTCTTTTAGTCCCAGAAGGTAAGAAAATATTGTAGAAATAACAAACAGACAAATCCATAATGATAGGGGTATATCAAAGAGACATAGGAGCTCTGAAAGAGCTTCCAATGGCCAAAGCATTAGCAAATTCAGTAATAAAATAAAGTATACAATTATATACAAAGGAGTAAAAATATCCATGTCATACTGATGCAAATAATTACATAAATTTAAAAATGAAGAAAAATAGACAAATTTCTCCTGCAGAAGAATTTCTAATGATTTAAGTAGATATTCCACTATCAAGAAAGTGAATCATAAATTCCCACTCCTTTAATGTGGGCTGCAAATAGTGACTTTCTTCCAAAAAGTACAATATTGAATGCTGGGGAGAAAACAATGTTATAGTGGAGAAACAGTAAACACTACGTCACTCAGGAAATCAAGGTTAACATAATGGCGATGATACGTTGGTAGTGTGTACCCTCAATATAATGTAATAGGATTGGCAATTTACTTTCGTGGTCATCCCCCAAAAACCCCATAACCCTGTTTTAATCATGAAAAAATATTAATCCCAACTGAGAGACAGTTTACAAAATACCTGACCAGTGTGCTCTAAAAGTGTCAAGGTCATCAAATCAAGGAAACTTTGAAAAACTGCTATAACAAAGAGGAGCCTAAGAAAACATGATGACTAAATTAATATGGTTTGCTGGATGGAATCCCAGGACAGAAAAAGGACATTAATTAAAGACTATGGGAATCTGAATAAACTGTGGACTTTAATTAATAATAATCTATCAGTATTGGTTCATTAATTGTGACAGATATAATGTATTAATATGGTATGTTTCTAATAGGCGACACTAAATGTAAGTTATGTGGAAACTCTGTTATCTTATTTTTCTATAAAAATTTCTATATAAATTTAAAACTTTAAAAATTTGAAACAGACAAAACAATTAGCTCATAATGGGAACTGTAGTAGCCTAAAGAATCTCCATCTTGCATATCATACTAGTATACAAAGTTAGCTCTAACACAGACGCTACAATATGGGAAGAATTTGGAATATTTCCACATATCTGAAAGCTACAACTCAGAAGTTTTAGAAATTATTTTGTACCCTTCACAGCTTGATTTCTTTGGTATTTTTTTTCTATCTTTATACAGGGACAGTGATAGTTTTATGATTTGACATCACCCATAAAAATTTTACAAGCATAAATGCTCTAAGTCATCATTCTCATTTGATACCAGACTTAAAAGGTTGAGCAGGCAGAGAATGAGCAAAAGGTATCAGCGAGGGAGACAAATAAGATAAATTGAGCATGCTCCTTGATGATGACAAACCTGGTTACAGTTATTTTAATGTGCATGATACTTGCAGTGGTGTAGGATTGCTGCCATTCACAATTTGTGCATCATCATTATGTCCCCAGGAGCTGTCATCAGCTTTACCCAGAAGATGCAAAGATGCTCTTGTCACAAAGAAAATTATCCCTGACCTACTCTGAGCTCAGAAATGGTCTTCTCCCCTCATTCTAAACCAGTATTTTAAAGCACATTCTTAGCCACTGAACTACACTGGCATTTGTTAACTTAAGTGTTTGAAAGTGAAATAGTTTATGCTTTACTTTGATTAATGCAAGTAAATAACAAAGTATTGCTCTTTAGGCTGATTTTGTCTGTGTTGGTATTTATTTGTTGTCTTTACCCACAAATGATTATTTTATTGAAGAACTGATTAAGTTTTAAAATTAAGTGCACATTTCAAACTAATATTATCCTATGATGAGATAAATTCAGGTTTGAATGATATTTAATTATATATGTATTTGCCATTCATTCATCCATCCATCAATTCAATCAACAAATATTCATTAAATTTCTATATGCTAAACAATTTTCTCATCTTGGAAATGTAGCAGTGAACTAAACTAAACCAATTCCTGCCTTCATGGAGCATATTATTAAACAATTTATGAATAGCAAGGTGGTAATACCATCAATTCATTAAGTAAAAACTGACAGCTATCTACGAGAAATAATTAAATATAAAAAAATGATTTCACTATAGTAAAGTGAGTGAAGAACTCTGAAGACTTAGTCTTTCTTTGGGTTTTTTACTGTTGTGTTATGCAATACACATGTAGTGATACTGGGAAATTGAGTTTAATTCATGATTCAAGATAATTCATACAGATATTCACTATTGAACAAAATATATTCAAAAATTCACTGTCTTCCTTAATCGTCTGTTGTTTCTATTTCAGTAGTGTTAGCACTTTTCAATAAACACTACAGTGAATTGGGGAGCCCATATCTTACTCTTTTATGTTGCCATGTCTTTTAGACATGTTATCTATACAAATGTCAGCAGATTGATAAAAAGAATTTTGACTCAAATATTCAGATGTTTTTCAAACTCAAAATATCCAGACATATTCGAAAGAACAGATATATAAGTCCTATTTTCATTAGACAAGTAGTGGTTTCATAGACAGTATATCAAATTGTGATGATCACCAGAAGTGATTATGATTCTAAGGAAATATTTGAGAAAAATGAAAATTAAAAAAAGTTTATTTTATTTGCTATTATTTTAAAGTGTACCATATCTTTGGTGGCATGTTTCTTAAGGAAACTGCCCATGTTTAATATATATATTTATTAATGATTTTAGGATTCATGTAATTTCAAAAGTAATAAATTATAAAAGAGAGTTTGTGTTGTACAAATGCGGTTATATAATCATGTATCTATTAGCATAATGGGATATGTCATACAGAGCTCATACATTTTAGAAATGTAGAAGATATGTAAAATAATCAGGAGTATCTTTATTCTATAAAATATAAAATAAAATAATTTATGTTTCGAAACTACTTAGAAAAAATATGGACTACAGCTTTATCATGAAAAAATCCTGAGGATATTTAGCTGATTTATATTTGTAAAAAATCTTCACAATCTTTAAACATTATATAGAGAAACTAAAATTTAATTGGGGTTTTTTTTTATAGTGCTACATTCTCAAAATGCAATATATGTAATACACATAACAGGCTTACTTTTAGGGCCTCATTAATCACACTGCTCCTTATTTAAACTATTTTGCAGCTCCATCTCCAGTTACCAATGTGAAAAAAGGGAAGATTGCAAAAAACAGCATCTCTTTGTCTTGGCAAGAGCCAGATCGCCCCAATGGAATCATCCTGGAGTATGAAATCAAGTATTTTGAAAAGGTAAGACTAACAGAATAAAAAAAAATGTCTTCAGTTTCTTTTTTTTTTTTTCCCTTTAGCAACTGCAATTATCCAGTTTGTAGAAGAGTATGTTGCAATTTTATGTATAAATCAATGACAATTGATTCTGCAGTCATAATTATGGACGCTAGAAGTGTACAGGGAGCTCTCTATTCATGTTCTGCTGCTGCCAAATAGTTTACACAGCTTAGATACTGCCATATAGTCTAATATTAGCTTAACTGAGTTGAACAGCATTAAAAGATGAAGTCATAGGACATTTGAAAGTGTTACAAAGACTTAAGCTATAGATTTTCAGTAGTGACTGCAGTGTGCTAACAGAGAAATCATATGTGCTTATGGCTAGTAACTCAACATAACACCTATACTATTAAGGTAATATGAAAAAGATAAGACACATATATGACATACAGTTTTTAGATTCTTAGCAAACATTTGGCACTGTAGTATAAAATTTATGTTTAAATTTCAGGTTAAAAAATAAAAACATATGTGCATCACATTCCCCATATTTTATTGATTTCCTCTTGTTCTATGAGTCTCTTAGAGATACTTTTAAACATTTTGCCATAATAGCTATTGAGGTCAGGTCTCAAGGTTGTAATAAACTCTTTTCCTCTTTTCTGAATTCACAAGCAAGTGAGTTATCGATGAAAGAGTCATACAGATGGAAGCTGAAAAAGCTTGTAATTTCTAAAACTGGGCTGGAATATGTGGCTTACATATGTAGCCACCATGAGTCTTCCTGCTACTTCCGCCTCTTCATCTGTGATTTTTCTACTGGCTGGATCTGAATGTCATACACACCTTAGGACAACCTGAGTTCTTAAAGAGGAGATAAAGATAGATGGGAACCCAAACCAGCCTCTGAGAACTGGGTTGGAGGCCCTGACCCAGAAATGTTGGTCCTATGGATGTAGGGATAGAAATGAACATGTAAAAAATGCAGGCATGAATATCCCAAAAAAGAAGAGAAGGACTGAGCCACACGACTTACTCAATGGCTTTTCCAGACTCACAGACATCACTCCTTTTTTCTGGAAGAGTAAAAGATATGGTAAGAAGTACAAAATCTTACTTTACAATACCTAAGAACTTGCCCAAGCTAGGGCATTGGAAAAGAGAGGGAGAATAAATGGTTCTCCTCACCATATATATATGCATAGATAAAAGAGTTTAGGGCCGGGCGCGGTGGCTCACGCCTGTAATTCCAGCACTTTGGAAGGCTGAGGTGGGTGGGTTGCCTGAGGTCAGTAGTTCGAGATCAGCCTGCCAAACATAGTGAAACCTCGCCTATACTAAAAATACAAAAAAAAAAAAATCAGCTGGGCGTGGTGGTGGGCACCTGTAATCCCAGCTATTCGGGAGGCTGAGGGCAGAAGAATCGCTTGAACCCAGGAAGCGGAACTTGCAGTGAGCCGAGATCGCACCATTGCACTCCAGTCTGGGCAACAAGAGCAAAACTCAGTCTCAAAGGGGGGAAAAAAAAAGAGTTTAGGTAAGTGTATTGAATATTAATTTGTCACAGTATAGAAAATTTAAAAATAAATTTTCTTCTTTCATTCATTGATTCAACAATTGCCTGTGTAAAAATACAACAAAGGATAAAACAATGGGGAGTGATGGAGAAAGGCCATCTACATATTTACAGGTTTTTGTTGTTTCTACAATGTTCATGTATTGATTATACCAGTAGATAAATAAATGATCAACCATTTTTGAAATAGTCATCTTTCTAGGAATGACTTACTGGTAGTATTATATACAACTATCAGATCATTAAGAAACATAAATGATGACACATATTTCAAAAATAGGTTATCAAATACATTATTCACCAAGAATGCTCTTAGAGAATACCTCTGAGACAAAATTATGTTGGGATATGGTTAACATTGTTTAATGTCAACAAAACTGTAGTTAATCAAGTGGAATATAGTGACATTAAAATTTCTCACTGATTACTGTTCTCGTGAGATTAGTAGTAAAAAACAGCATTGCAAATTCCAGAGGTCTACAATTTAAACATAGGCTATGTCAAAAAACAATTTGTAAAATTAAGGTTTATATTTCTTATTCAAGTTTTTGTAACCTTTGTTACTTTATATTGATGCAAAGCCATGTAGAGTTATATAAATATATATTAACACATGCTGAATTCTGTTGTGAACATTGTTTCTCAATTTTCATTGTGATTAAAGTTGATTTCAAAAGAAGATAAAATGCAAAATAGAATTCAAAAACTGTATATTTGACTATCTTAGATGCAATAAGGGTTAACAGCAGGGAGACTAAAAGTTTAACAAGTACTTACATTTTCTTTTATCTCTGAATCAACTAGCTCGATTAATGACTGGCTTTCTTTTTTGTTCTTGAGGAAAGCATCCTATTTTTTTCCCCTTATGAATAACCTTTGATTGTTTTCATGACCACTTCCCAGCATATGCATTACTTTCATTTTATGTGTAATATTCAATATTAATGAGAATTTATCTTTTCTTAAAAAGTTGCTGCTTCTGTTAGAACAAAGTTATTCAACAAGTGGTAATGAGGAGTTTCTATTAAATATTTCTTCTACTGAGTTTTATCCATATTGTGATATTATTTTCTTTATAGTTCAATTTCTTTTTGAGTTACATTTATTTCAGTATGATTTGGTCTTATATTTAATAATTCAAATTTAATGCTTCAGTATTCCATTATATGATCTGTATAACTCAAATAAAGAAAAAAATGACTTGGGAAAAAGGTTTCTAAACATATTTCCAATAAATTAATAATAAGTTGCTTGTTTACATTAATTAAAAGCAGCAAAATCTTTATATGATATATTGGTGGAAGTGATTATTTTGGTCAGTGTTTTCCTTTTTAAAATAAAGGTATTAATTCCTGGACCATTGTGCACGAGCCAAACATTTGAGCATATCTATATTATACCTATAAAGTTTTTATAAGACTTTCATTTATAAAAAATGGATTATGAGCTTTTATACCATGTATTGAGGTAGGGATCCTGATAGGTTTTCAGAGCTGATTTTGAGCTTTCAGAATAACATCACCATTTTATTGGATGGCTTTTGGCCAGACACAGGTGGCAGAGCTTTCCAGGGCACATGCATTTGCCAGCTGGCATTTCTGCCTCTGATTGCCCTGCTCTAATAGAGGTCATTGGGCTTCTCTGCTCCCGTGTGAGGATGGGCTCATTGCCATCTCTTAATTAAAGGCAGAGGCAAAGGGAAGCTGCCCCTTGGCAGGGTGTTTGCCAGCTGGCTCCTTCTGCTGAAGCCCTCCCCTCACTGCATGTGAACAGTGTTTGCTAAGCAGCTGGGGAATGTAGCTCATTTGCTCAGCTGGGGCACGAAGGCAGCAAAAGGCACTGCCCTGACCAAGGACTTGGCAGCCAGGCAATTGTGGGTGTTGACAATCTTTACATAAAGTTTGTGATATGTAGAAAATTACAATATGAGAGAGATTTAAAAGAATGAAACAGAATTAAATTTTGGAAGACGCTTACACGATTCACAATGTGTATTCATTGGTTTTGATCCACTAGATACATGCTTTGCTAAATTCTCTTCAATAACTTATGTATGGCTAACTCAGAGAGACAATGTACAATTAAACTCTAGCTAAGGAACAACTGAGACATACATAACGTTAATTGTTAAATCAAACAGAATGTTGTGCAATTGATATTAGATCATGCATTATTTCAAGGAGCAGCAGTCCAGTTTCCTGGTAAATTTTTCCTTTCTGGCAAAAAGTATCAATTTCTAATATTTTTATAAAATGTATTCATTGTACCTTCAATAGTTAGAGTTTACAACTATGGAAGCTTTTAAAAGTTGTTTTGTTTTTTACTTATCAATGGGACAACTTACCATCATGCTATAGAGTTAAGAGTAATCCATTCTACGTAGAACCTATTTTGTAGCGATTGTGCTTGGTATATGTATTATTTTTATCTCTGTCTCCTTCCAATATTCTTGGTAAATAATTTTATCTCCATTTTAAGGAAGAAAAAAACTGAGGTAAAGAGTTGTTTACCCACATTTTCTCATCTACTTAATAATATGGCTGGAAATCTAATGCTGTCATTGATGCCTTCTTCTAATGTTTTATATTATAAATGTTAATCCTTTATGTAAAAATGATAATTACGTAAAGTCTATCAGAATTGTATACTTAAATTTTGACTAGATTTTTTCTTTAAGTTAAATTTTCTTTAAACAAATATCAGCAAACAGACATTTAACTTACTTAGTGAGAGTTACTGCTACAATTGTAGCCAAACTGGAAAGCAGAATATTATTGAGAAATATTCCTTTTAAATAATATGGGAAAATAATATTTTTCAATAATATGGAGAAATAATAAATGATATTATCAGGTTTATTCCATCAAGAACCTGTGCATTCTCAGAAAAATTGGTAACTATCATAGTTTATAGAAACTGTTTACAGTTGTTAAAAAGAACACATTAAGAAATTGTTTGCTTTTTACTGCTATGATCCTACCATACAGAAGGAGTAATAGAGTGGATAATAGAAGAGCAATACATGTTTGTCAATGAAGAAATTTACTGGTATTATTAGGTAACATTTTATAAGACTTAATTACCTTTGCTCAACTTTAATAAAATTTCCTAAATACATTAAAGTTTAGATAATTAAATTAATCTGCAGTTTAAAAAATTAAAGATCAATCATTTGCCTATGATGATCAGAAAGTGTGCTATTGGGTTTATAAATTACACCATACCTATTTAGAGATAATTTTGGACCTACTTAACTCTAAGATAATTTTGTATGTTTAAACATATTACAAGAGGAATGATAAATTGCTTTAAAAGAAAAATGTTATATAGATTGTATATTTTAGATAGTATTAGTGGTAGTCAACTTTGACATGTCATATTAGAAAGAGTTACAAATATTTAAAATAATTATGAAAATTAAAACATCTATTACAGTTTATTAACTGCTTTCACATACATTACCTGTTTCATTTTTACAACATCTCTGTGAGGAAACCCAGGCAAGTCTCTACTCCAATTTTACTGATAAGGAAACTGAATATAAAAGCAAAAATGTCCCTGCTATATTTCAGCCTGTGATTTCAGTATCCATGGTAAAGTTGGTGTGGTAACTTCAGAGAGATAATGAGGAGTTATGGATGGTTAGTCTAAACTTTTGTTAGCATCAAAATAGAAACAGTTCCTCTTTGTTTCAGTTCCCAAAATTATCTTTCCAGTAATTATTTTTCCTGCTCCATCTCCATTAACTACTACCTAGCTCCTCCAAATGAGGACATTTTCAAAAATAAATAAAAATGCTTTGCTTGTCTGCATTTTTCTTTAATGCTTTTTATCTAGGCTTAGAGAATTGAAATTAAATTTCACCAGTGAAGTACTAATTTCTTACCTTAAGACCTAAGTACAATTATAAATTGAATTCACTAATGAGTTAAAGCATAAGTCTTACCTCACAGAATGGGACATATTGTTAACTTTCTGTATGAATAGGCAGTATGTTAGATATGCTCCAATTAACTATATTGGAGGAAAAAAGTATACAAATAACCATATTAAAATAGAGTCTGTAAAATAATCAATCTCCTACAACATTATGTTTTCAAAATTTTAGAAATGTATTACTGGCAAAGACAAGTATTCTGGATAGGTGGACACAATGTCACCCACCACCCTGAGTTCTAGAAAAGACTTTAATATTCTATGTCAATAGCACACCTAGGATGTGTAGGATTTTTTTCTAAAGTATTATATTTGTACTAATAGAGTCCATTGGTTTCTGATTCATTCTCTGATCTATGGTTCTAAATTTTGTTGTCATTATTAATTTATATGCTGCCATTTTTACTGTATGTGCATGCGCATCCCAAGGACCAAGAGACCAGCTACACAATTATCAAATCCAAAGAGACAACTATTACTGCAGAGGGCTTGAAACCAGCTTCAGTTTATGTCTTCCAAATTCGAGCACGTACAGCAGCAGGCTATGGTGTCTTCAGTCGAAGATTTGAGTTTGAAACCACCCCAGTGTGTAAGTCATTTTAATTACTGTCAACTCATGTCTCAGTAATGGTTACCAGAAAAGAGTCAGTGGATCAATACCCTCCCTGGGCACTCTGTCAGTCTCACTCTCCCTCTCTCTCTCCCAGGCATGACCCCTTCAGGTAGGAAGCATCTGTCATGCTATTATGGTAGGTCGGCAGGTTAACACGTTGGTCCCTGCTCCTCATTGCATTCAGTCTTCTGGGAGATGGTACTTCAGGAGATACTTTAAAAATGTTTAAACTTGCTTTTAAAGACTTTCTTTCCACTGCTGCCATACTTTATTGAATTATTGCCATTTACTTTTTTAGTTGTTTTATTGAACTAGGCTACTAGGCTTAGTCTTTCTTTGAAAATTCCACAGGGAGTTTTCTTTAGCATTGAGATTGGCAAGAAAATGGTGCTCTCAGGAACCAATCTGATCTCATAAAAAGTATTAAATCTCTGGCACTGTCTTTAACGGGAGAATCTGGGAATATTTTTTGGAACAGCCTTTTTGAATCACTTTTTTCCCCATAAAATAGCGTAAAATATTTTCCTTTAATTTCAAAAAAAAATTTATGTTACTTACTTGTCCTAAACACATTGAAAGAATTTAAGATAGTAATAGACGCTGTTAAAACTTTTTGTGAAGAAATACACAGTACTGTGAAATGTCAGAAGTGTATATGTGTGTCAGTGTGTATGTGTATTTGCTTTAAGCCGAGTTACATAAAAATTAGTAATTTTAAAATAAATAAATTGCATATTTCCTTTTTACAAAAATCAACAAAATGATAATTTAGTTATGAATTTACTTTGTAAGAATCAGAAGAGCTATTAAATTAAAATGTGAATAAAACTATATTATACATCCCCTTTGAAAATCAAGATCTTTTTTTTAAAGTATATTTAACTGATTTATTTAAAAATAATTTTTATTCTGTAAAAATAACTTTCTAAGTGTTGTTTCACTGAATTTTATACAGAAAAGGGTGCCATTGTAAAAAATTATAAATTTGTTTTCTACACAAAGGAAAATCTGTGAGTGAAGTTTAATTGAAGCTACTGAAATTTGAACTTCTAATGCTATTCAGAAAATTTTCTTTTCTTACTACATTGAATAGGAACATGTGATATTAGTCTGAAAATTCTCATAATGTTAGCAATGGATTATTTAATCCTGCCCCTTTAAACTAAAAGGGATTTAGGAAAAAAAGGCATGCTGTATAAGCTAGCCATCTTAACAAGACTTGATTCTGTTTCGGTATAATTAGTAATAAATATTGCTTATGTGGTCTACCAACTCTGGGAACAAAGCCATAAATGAAATCTCAAACTATGCTTGAGTGCTTTGATAACTATACAAATGAAAAATCCCATTAAAAAAAAAAAAACGGTAAATTCTACTCAGTTCTAGGATGTTGGCACATTGAGCAACTGGTTTTTCTTCAGGCTTTTCAATATTCTATCATTTACATATGTATTAAGTAGTAGCTGCCAAGCACACAAAAACTCAATCAGATGACTTAGAGGACTAATATTTAATCATTTCCTGTGTATACTTTTACAAAGGTTTACCTGAAGTAAGCTACTTTTAACATTTTCTATATAATTTCTAGAGAAAAAGAAATATCACCCACTAATTTTTTTTATTGCCGAAGTAGATTATAGCATTATTTTTAATAGCAAATGAAAATACTTCGATATCATACTGCCTCGTAGCTATGAGAGTAAAATCTTTTTTTTTACTCGTATGTGTACATGTATGTACAAGCTTTTTACAGAATGAATTTATTATTTGTAGAGAGTATATTAGATATTAATTCCTTTTTGATCTTTATGTATAATATTTTCTGAATATAACTCAACAACAAGAATATATTGAACACCTATAACATATTAGGCTTTGCTAGGCCCTGAAGAAATCAACGTGAGTACACATAGAAACTTCTCTCCAGACAAAACGAATATACTGTGTTCAATTCTAAAATATAGAATATTTGTTTCAAAAAGCATTTTAGAGTAATAGTTTTGCTTATTTATTTATTTATATTGAGAAAGTCTCACTCCATTGCCCAGACTGGAGTGTAGTGGAGCGATCTTGGCTCACCACAACTTCCACCTCCTGAGTTCAAATGATCCTCCTGACTCAGCCTCCCAAGTAGCTGGGATCACAGGCGTGAACCACCATGCCTGATTAATTTTGCATTTTTAGTAGAGATGAGGTTTCTCCATGTTGGTCAGACTGATCTCAAACTCCTGACCTTAGGTGATCTGCCCACCTTGGTCTCCAAAGTGCTGGGATTACAGGTGTCAGTCACCACTCTCGGCCTAATTTTGCTTATTATTTTAAAATTGATTTTATTCAATTTCTAGCCATCAAAGGGTTTCTTTTTAGCTCAAAGATGCTATAAATGACTCAAATAATTCTAAGGAATAATACCTTCTTTCTCAAGGCCTATTGTCTAATAAAGAATCAGAGAAGATACGCAATGACAATTAAAATAATACTTTTTTTCAGAACATTTATTTTTGTAGTATTTTCTGAAATCCACATTCATTATTTCACTGGGCAATTATTTACTTTATATCATAATTTCAGTCTTAATTTACATTTATTATTTCCCCAATAAGGTCTTCAAGTACTTTGATGCAGTAATTACGGTAAACATACAATAAACATATTTGTGTTTTTCCTCGTTAAGCTTTCAGTGATTTTTATTTGGTAAGTGATAGTTAAAGAGTTCTGACTTTAATGAGCCATCTGTACTAAGAAAAAGCTACTTTATCAGTCAGGTATGTAATAGGAAGTTATTTTAAAATTTCCGTGAGTATATTTTTTAAAAAGAATTTTCCAATTGCCTGTTCAATTCATAATGATGATACAAATAATGAAAAGTTGACACTTTTTTATGATTTGTGTTTTTATAGAATTTATTATTTACTAATTTATATTACATTTCAGTCATTTGTTAACAAAAAGTTAAAATGTTATGAGCGCTTTTATTTTTCATTGACATTGTCTTGTAAGTCAAAAGATAACTCTAAAGAGAAATGCAAATAGTAGTACAAACAGGAACGCAAAACAATTTTTTTAGAAAAGCTATTTAATATGAAGATTTGGGTAGAAAATCTCCAATTATTCTTCCTCTGCCAAGTTTAGTTTATGTCTTATAACTGTTAACTTCTTCATTTTAATTTTGTTATGCATAAAAATAATATATTTAAAATTGATTTTTTACCCTACCCCCATTCTCAACAGCAGTGACTATATATATGTGTGTGTATATATATATATATATCAACAAAGAAACTTACCGTGAGTAAACCCATTCAGCCAAACTCATTAGACCCTTTCCTGGTTTATTTTAACATAATTTATCTTGAAGCTTTCAGACTGTAACTGAATCTATCTTAACATCTACATGCCCACGATTCATCAATCACATTTGTGATTCTTTTAATTTTTAAAAATGGATCACTTCCTTTTATCCAGCTATACCTGTTTGTCTCAAATCTGTGCAGCCTAAATGAGGAAATAATGGTATTGTGTTTTTTATTAAAAGTTGTACTGAGGTAATTGTGGATTTGCATGCAATTTTAACAGCAATACAGACCACTCTTATACACTTTACTTAGTTTTCCCCATGGTAATATTTTGCAGAACCATAGTATAATATCACAACCAGAACACTGATATTGATGCAATCAATCCACAGATTTAATCCTATTCTCTTGTATTCCTCTTTAAATGTGTATGTGGACATGTATCTGTGTTAGATTCTATGCCATTTGGTCACTTGTACAAGTTTGTGTATCTACCACCAACCTCAAGTTACCAAACAATCCCAATACTGTAAAGATCCCTTGTGTTTCTTTTTTTATAACCACACCCACTACCTTTAAGAAGAAATGTTGTGGGCCGGGCGCGGTGGCTCAAGCCTGTAATCCCAGCACTTTGGGAGGCCAAGACAGGCGGATCACGAGGTCAGGAGATCGAGACCATCCTGGCTAACATGGTGAAACCCCGTCTCTACTAAAATATACAAAAAAAAAAAAAAAAAAAACTAGCCGGGCGAGGTGGCGGGTGCCTGTAGTCCCAGCTACTCGGGAGGCTGAGGCAGGAGAATGGTGTGAACCCGGGAGGCGGAGCTTGCAGTGAGCTGAGATCCGGCCACTGCACTCCAACCTGGGCGACAGAGCGAGACTCCGTCTCAAAAAAAAAACAAATGTTGTGGCATCACTAAGCCCTGGAAACCATTCATCTGCCATTCATGCATGACGTTTTCACATTTCAAAAATGTTTCATAAATAGAAACATGCAGTATGTGCCTTTTAATTTGGAATTGGCTTTTTTTCACTTAGCATAATTTCCTGCAGATTCATCCAGATTGGGTGTGTATCAAGTTTCTTTATTTTTATTACTGAATAATAATCCTTAATATGTATGTACCACAATTTGTTTAACCTCCATTAATTTGTTGAAGGATATCAGGGCTGATTACAGTTTTTGCTATCACAAATAAAGATACTGTAAACATTTGTATACAGATTTTTGTGTCATGTAGGTTTTTATTTCCCTAGGATGAATTTCCAAAAGTACAACACTGGATTGTACAGTAATTGTATATCTAATTTTGTAAGAAACTGCCAACATGTTTTCCAAAATGGCTGTATCATTTTCCATTTCCACCAGCAATGGGTGATTGATCTGGTCTCTTTATATCCTTGTCAGCATTTGGAATTGTCATTATTTATTTACTTATTTGTTAGTCATTTTGAATAAGTGGGTAGTGATATCTCACTATTTTGAAAATCACTGTTAGTTAATTATGTTCAACATCCTTTCATGTGCCTATTTGCCTACCATATTGTTTTTAGTGTTTCCACTAATTCCTATGTACTTATATTACTTATTAAAAATTATGCCCTTGATTAAGTTACCCTGATTAAGAAAGTTTATAGATACCTATTGCTGTGAGAGAAAGTTCCCAAATTCTCAGTCTGACCTGTAGACTTATAATCTGGCTCTTACAATTATTTTAACCTTCAATGATGAACTCTTCACATATATAGCTGAGGCAATAAAGTCTAGAGAATATCCACGTAATATTTGTATACAACCAGGAGTGTGGGAAGCAAGGTGAGGTAAAAAATGTGACTTCTCAGTATATGCTGCCTTAGAATTTCCAGGCATGATGCAAATGTGTAATGATTTTTTTTAAAGAAACATTATTATTTACAAAGAATATTAATTTTTATAATTGGTGATCTTTCTCCATAGTGTGTTATATTGCTTCAACATTTTCTTTTAAGTCTTCCCATGATATTTCCCAGCTATTTTGCCAAAACGACATCATTAATAAACTAATTTTTAGTAAACATAAGAAAATGAGAGACATGCATAACTAAAGGTATATATCTTAAGGATTAAAATTTTAACAGTATGTTAACATGATTACCATATCTCCTACTTGACCTAAATATTTTTGTCTCACTCCTAAACAAATCAACAAGCATGAATGCATTGACGATAACCTGTAAATTGTTTATTTTCATCTGAATTAATATAATTAATGATATCATTAATGCCCTCAGGACAAACGAAAGAATAAACAATTTAAAAATCTTGATGAATCATTTCTTATTAGAAATTGCTCACAAATTAATTAATGCATGTGAAACAGTGAATAGTTAAAACCTGAGTTTATGGTGGGTGAATGGCTTGAGCTCAGAAGTTTCAGACTAGCCTGGGCTAAATGGTGAAACCCCTTCTCAACAACAACAACAACAACAAAATACAAACATTAGCTGTACGTGGTGGCGCACGCTTGTAGTCCCAACTACTCGAAGGCTGAGATTGGAGGGTGACATGAACCCTGATGGCAGAGGTTGCAGTGAGCCAAGATCGTGCCACTGTACTCCAGCCTGGATGACAGAGTGAGACCCTGTCTACACACACACACATGCACGCAAGAAAATTTAAAACCCATCAAGGACCTTAGAAAATATTGCAAATTTAAAATAATAATAAAACTATATAAATAAATTAAACTAAAATAATCCTAAACAAAAATATATTCTGTAAATTCTTCCTCACAAAATGGTCTCTAATTGCTTTTTATACAAAAATGATCTGATTTCAGAGGACGTTAGATAAATACAGAGAATATTAATGTTTGTGATTTGATGTTACTTATAAACTATATTCATAAAATGTATCAACTTAGCATATTAATCTTTTGAATGCCATTAGTAATTATTTTAATGCAATATATTTTTCTATAAAGATCTGCGCATCAGATCTTTGTTGGTCCTGGAAATTACTCAAAATGAAGAATTTGACACTACCAAAATTTTATACTTCTTCTCAAATTTAATACTGTGGCCAGTGTGAAGTTACTCTGTTTTTACCCTTATTTCTGAGTAATTGTGCACTCTTCCTCCAAAACTATATCTGTGAGAGTTCCCAAACTGGCACATTAAGAGTGGGAATAATTGTTAGACTCAGATTAGAAGGGCTTTTGAAAACTAGACTTAGCATTTGACAATTTTCTTCCAAAGGTAGTAGGACTTTCTAAAGTTTTTGATCAGAGACACATAAAAATGATATTTTTGATATTTAATATGAGTACATAGAAGGCAGAGAGAACAGTTAAAATGCTATGAACAATATTCCACCATTTTGATTATACAGATTTGAATCAAATAGGTTAATGTTGGATGAAAATAAGTGATGTATGGGGAGAAACATCAAAGAAACACAAAAGTATTTGATAATGAATGAACAAGCAGAAGTTAAGAAGGATTTAGTAATAGTTCAAAGAAACCAGAAAGAGATCAAACCAGTTTGATTTTTTGGTTTGATTAATGATATGTTTATTTGTTGATATATGTTTTCGTTAATGCCTTTGGGGGTAGATGTGGTATAAAGGACAATTTTAAACATGTTAATTTTTATGTAAGAATAAAATCCAAACAAAGGGCTAAACAGTTTGTTATAAAAAATGGAAGGGTTCTTTGGAGAGAAATAAGGGTAGGAGATATAAATTTGTCATCCTGATAGTTATTAATTGATACCATGAAGGAAGAAGTATCAGAGAGAGGGAGAAAGTAAGGGAGGATGTGAAAAAAAAAGACAGAAAGAAATGGAGAGAAGTGAGAAGGATAAGAAATGCGAAGGATCAGGAGTGAGCATTCATGGAGAATCGTTCATACATCACTGTGGGAAGAGAATATGAAGCCATCAGAACTGACAAAGTAGTGCAGAGTACAACAGCTTGTCTGATGCCATAGAAACCAAGAGGAGGAGAGTTTCAAGTTTAAGGTATACGTTCAGCTAAGTCAAACTCCTAATCATGGTGGAGGATAAGTTAAATAAAGAAGTACACATTGCATGTTGCAAATGTCATCATCCATGGAATTCAAAGGCAGAAGAATAAAAAAATTTCAGAGATAATTTTAAAATGTTGGTTCTTAGATATGGTTGGTTTCAGATGCCTCTGTCAAGATGCTGACAAATAGGAAATATAAGAATGGCAAATAAACAGGAGATAATAAGTATAAGTGATACTTTACTATTTATTTAAGGCTGTCAGTAGTTGAAACTCTATGCTAAGTGTATTATATGTATTATCTTTAATCTTAACAGAAATATAATGATCCAAGGAAATTATCCCTACTTGGAGATTATGCAAATGGGACTTTAAAGGTTTAAGTAATTTTCTTGACGCATATATGTAGTAAATGCTGGACCTATTTTGCAATTTGGATTGAACTAATCCTACTAAGTTTAGATATAAAGATTTACTTCTCCCTAAAGGTGATATCTGCTCAGGCTTGTAAGCAGCACAATAGTTTATAAAGCAGCAAAACTGTCTTCCAGAGGGAGATCTTTGAAAGTTTAGCATTTCTCAAATGTGGGAAGGGGGAATGTATTAATACACGGAGCATATGAAGATGGCTCATTATGGGGATGATTTTACTAGGAAATTAACAATAGAGAATTAAGGCATTCAAGCAGCAGTTGCAGCTTACTCAAATAACATTGAGTTTCTGAGTGAAGTTTCTCTAGAAACAGTGCCCTCTGCCAAAAAAGAAAGAGAAAAGAGAAAAAAAAGTAGCAGTAGAAATAATCTGAGTTTAGAGATCAATAAAGCAGACTTTGGGGAAAGGGTATTAGCAATTCTGGGGGTAGGTTTTTCCTGCCTCATTTATACTATAGCCTATAACTAAATTTCTTGCCACCGACCTTAGCGTCAGAGACTAGGAGAAAACAGGGCAAGACTCTTGTACATATTATGCAAAAAGGGAGAAGGTAAGAGCACTGACTTATATTGAAAATAATAGTTTTACTCAAACCAGCTGTTAATAATAATGGGATCTAAATACTGGTCTAAAATAGCTGAAAGCGAATCAGTGCAAGAGGGTCATCAGCAAATCACTTAGTTTTGATTAGAAAGAATCAAGAACAATGTGACTAAAATAGAAAGGGAGGTGTTTGCAGATCCAAAACTCTTGGTAGGCCAAGATCTGGTATGGGGTTGTGAAAAAGAAAACACATATTGTTACTAATTTCTGTGACAATATTTGTTACCATGGAGCTGAACTAGTGCTACTTTGAAGTTATCAAATTGATCATATCATTAAACAAGAAACATGCTACATATTCTATGGAGGGATTCTTAAGAACATTAGTACAATTTATTTTGCCCTATGGGTGTTTTGTTTTAATCCAGATTAGTTAGCACAAAAATAAAATTTATTTGCTTATTTAAGTACAACTGCTTAATCATGTTCATATTCCTCTTATGAAGGGAATTTTATACTAAAATATAAAACATTTCATCTAAATCTATGTATATAAAAAGTAGGTGATGTAAATATATCCAATTTTAAGATAGATTTCTACACCTCTAAATGTTTGCCTTGATATTTTTCAAAAAGTGAATTTACTTATGAAATATACTTACTGGTTATATTGTGCTTTACATTGTGTTTTTGTAGTAATATTCAGAATACTGATATTATATTTTACTTCAATGAGGTCATAGTCACATTATTTTTGTCTTCAATGTCTCCAATGTCTATGGGGAAAAAAGTCCTACCTGGGTTCATCAGATTTTTTTTCTAGAGAACAGCAGAATACAAACTCTAAAAATATCAAATCTTATATACCTGGCACCTCCTATTTAGATTAAGGTGTTTGAAGTCAATAAAGAAGTTCCATTTTAATTCGCAGACCTAAGGCCCCTAGATGAATACTATGCAAACAACATGCATTCATTTTTTATGATGACAAGGAAATAATCAGTGACTTAGTGATGCTCTCAAATCTCTATTTGGAAAGTAAATATTTTCTATTAAAGATGACTTTTCAATTACACACTTTTAAGAAACGATATTAGGGGAAATCTCAGCCAAGTGTGGGTAAATTGCTTAAATCATGAATTGATTACTGTCTATTAAGCAGCTTTTATTTTGAATGCATGTGATCACTTTAACCACAAGCTCCATTTTCTGTATCTCCTATCAGCAGTTGCAGCATCCAGCGATCAAAGCCAGATTCCTATAATTGCTGTGTCTGTGACAGTGGGAGTCATTTTGTTGGCAGTGGTTATCGGCTTCCTCCTCAGTGGAAGGTAAGAGAGGAAGCTGTGATTCTGAAGTTTTGCAGCTGATCTCTTCCTCACCTTGATCTGACCATTTGGCTGTTAAGCACATCCCAAAACAAATCAGGCAAGCAATATATCAGCAGATAATCTCAATACATGATGCAATTCCTAAGCCTTATCTTGTTCCTATTACTGATGATTTTTAAGCCCACAATTTCTCTTTTTAGGTATGCTCTCTTCATAAGAGCTGCGTTGATGTGTTATTGTTTATTCGGTTCATATAGCTATATCTCTTTATATGACACAGGTTTCTTAATCTGAAATTTTTTGTCCCTCAAAAGTGTATATGGTTGTCTGCTTCAATATTAATTAGTGTTTGGGAAAAGTTATCTCTGTGCCAAGTATATTTTTGAGGAATAAGACATGATTCTATTTAGCCAGTATTCTATCCTAACAGGGTGGTGTATCCAAAGCAGATATTATGGCAAACAAGCTCCTTAGAAAATGACCAAACATTTTCACTGACTGCTTTTATTTTCAGCTTCTAAGTGATTTCAACCTGAATATTTCAATTATGGTGTATACTGATTTGAAGTGAATTATATTAAATATTATTGAAATAGATACATGAATATATAATATATTATGTATCTACATTTTTTCATTTTATACAAAAAAGAAGTTGAGTCTTAAGAAGAGCTGTTCTAGGTGTTTTCTGATATTGAGCTGAGCATAATCAACAATAAAAAATAAAATAAAATAAAGTAGAATAAAACAAAGTGAAGTAAATAAAACAAGAGTATGCTATTTTCCTACAATAAACATAGTTTCACATATTTTTTAAATCCAGGCCATTATTAGAAGGGATATGTAGTAATGGGAGCTGTCCATTTGAAAATATATTTTGGTGTTAGACCATTATAGAAAACTTAATGAAAGTCTTCATGGAAATATTTATTTCTCAGAAAAAAAGTGAAAATGTACCATAAGGTCCCCCCAAAAAGCCAGGAAATCAATGTTCATATTGATTTTGTTACTGTTCTACTCATTTACTGTTGACTCTTCAGCACCTATTCAACTCATAAATATACAGAATTGGGCACTTTTCAAAGTACTGCATATTGTGTTCTGAAAAGATTTATGACTACATCCTTAAATTACAGAAGTAACAGTTTATTTTTATAAAATATCACAAAATCTTTTGAACATTCCCTCATTGTATCTGAAAATCCTATTACTTCTGGTTCTTATTTATTTGTTTGAAGTTTTCTTAAAAATATATGCAGTAATTCATTGCTTACTTTTAATGTTAGATTGGCATTTATGTATTTCTAGAATTTCTAGCTAGGGGATAGTTTGTGTTCTGTTGAGGACAATCAAGCCCATCCCAGGCAGGGGGATGGCTATCTAGTGCCCCACTGATTTCATCTCTCTGAAGTCACCTGGGGAGAATGCACAACCTGTATCCCTGCTTTCTGGAAGATAAGCTGATTTCACTAGACTTGTCAGATTTTGACACAATAGTATAATGAAGTTGCATGAATTGTAACTACTAAGAAAGCTACCACGTGACAATGTGTCTTTTACACCCCAAATTATAGATGATGCCTTTGCAGAGCTGGTTTGTAATGCCATTTCTTTATTTCAGACTGAGATAAGAGTTAGTGGTTTCCTTTCTAATAAGTTCAATAAACATTAGTTATATTTATGGACGTGGAGGTTATAAGAAGATTCTGTATTTGTTGTGTGCACACTTAGGAGAAATGAATAAAAATGGAAAAAAAGAACCGAGGTCTAGAATCCAATAAATCTGTGTTTTTGAGAGTTTATTAAAGGATACACATCAATTATCAGAAATATGTTGTTGTAGACTTAGCACAGTGAATTTACAGGTGACAGTTTGCTACGGATTCTTGCTCACCCTTATGTGGTATTTTTAGCATTAGACAACAAAATATTTGAAAGAACTTTCAATCTACTTACTATTTGGTAACTGAAGGGTAGTATCGTTGTAGTGCATACACGCACGCATTCATACAAAGTCACCCACACACTCTGTATTGGTTCTCACACTGCTATGGAGAACTGTTCAAGACTGGGTAGTTTATAAAGAAAAGATGTTTAATTGATTCACAGTTCCATATGGCAGGGGGTGATATCAGGAAACTCACAATCATGGAGGAAGACACCTGTTCACAAGGCGACAGGAAGGAGAAGTGCTGAAGGGGGGAAGAGCCAAGGGGGCGGAGCCCCTCATGAAACCATTAGATCTCCTGAGAACAAATTTACTCTCATGAGAACAGCATTTGGAAAACTGCCCGCATAATCCGATTACCTCCACCTGGTCTCTCCCTTGGTATGTGGGGATTATGCGGATTACAATGCAAGATAAGATCTGGGTGGAGACACAAAGCCTAACCCTCTCTCTCTCTCTCTATCACACACACACACACACACACACACACACACACACACACACAAATTCTATATATACCTGAAATTGCTGTTCAAGAAAAATGAAATTTTAGTATAATGTCTCATTTGTACTAGAATCAGGTCTATGCCCAAAACACATAGCTTAATTTTCTGCCAAATCCAAGGCTTGGTAAAACATTTTTGAACATTTTGTCTAATGAAAGTGTAATTACTTTTAAAAACAGCAACATCTAAGCAATTAGTACATTGTTCATTCATATTAAAATTCTTTTCTAATCCAATTTAATTTTGCAACACAGTTTAAGATGCTGACACTAGGAATTTGCAGTTGAAAAGACAGCACATTTCGCCAAAAACAAATCTGAGGCTTATAGTTTTTTAGAAGCCAATTTTCTGCATGAAATTTTAATTACTTTATTTTCTTGGATGTATTTTCTTGACTATCAGGGAGCATTTGTCATATGATAGAAACGTCCTTGGCCATTGTATTGTACTCTTCATGGACAAACTATTTTATATTTTATTATATAAGTATAACTATTCAAAAGCTACATGATAGGATTCTTGAAAGACTTTTTCTATCTCACTTAAGACAATGAACTTTGTAATTTTTGTTTGGACCAATTAAATCTAACTCACCCTGCAGTACCTAGATTGTCCTGAATTAACCCAGTAAAGATTTGTTAAATAACTGGAAAATTAAATGAAGAAATGTGGCCAAAACCTAACATAAATTTGGGAAACTATATTTGAGTAATAGCAAATTATTTTAAAAAGCTTGAGCTAGGAAAGATGTAAAGATATAGGATTAGATACGTTTCTCCCTTCTCTCTGTGCCAAAATATGATTGATTCTCTCTCTCACTCTCACAGACACACACACACACACACACACACACAACATTTAGACTACCATCTCACTTTGAGCTTACCCTTATTACTATCTAATATCTGGAATATGATATGATAACCCAGATATTTGCTCCTAGATAATATCATTTAACTAAAAATAATTGGACTCATCATTGGTTAAATAAGTTCATTTATTTTGATATATTGCAAAATATTAATATTGCTTACATGTAATATTCATTGGCAATTTATTTTATGATTTGGGCCCAAGAGGAAATATATCTTGAAGATCCATATTCACTAAAAATTTGTGTTTTTACTTAGACAAAAAAAAAACGTGCAAATGATGACACACTAGGTATTATGACACTAATCTCTTTCAAAGAAAAAAGGTAAACTTTTAAAATTCTAAAATACACTCAAGGATGAAAAATAAATCAAATATAGAGACTTTTTAATATTTTCAGGCTTAAGTTGATTATGCAGAAATATTTTGTAATATTCCTACCCAGACAAAATTTAAAATAATGTAAAGTATCCATCTTGAAGGAAAAATCCTATTTAACAAAATGGCATAGAAGTATAACATATTAGAATTCTTGACAATTTTAGAATGTGTGTGATCTTCCTTTTTAAATATGTTAAGTAATCTATGGGGTATTTTCTGCAGGGTTCAGACTCTCTCCACTGTTTCCCATTAACCTTTAAATGTTTTTTACAGGATTATAAAACAATTGACATGCCTTCCACAAACTATGAGCTAATCATCTTAGGATGGAAATAAATTAAGCCTCTTTATATGCACAGCATATTGAAATTGCTCTTTAATCTTTCTCTTTTATCACTAATGACATTGGGCATTGATAACTTTCTTTTGTCCCAATTTTGTGGAGTTTATCTCTTATATTTACTATTTTACAGATTTTTAAATGTTTAATTAACCAGTCTTTCATCAATGAATATTTTCACTGTTTTCCAGTTAAATGTTTAAGAAAGTTTTTCACTTTATTTTTTCCTCTTTTTAATCCTTTAAATATGATTAGTGTTATAAAGTTGACTTTTTTATTTATCTATGTCCTTATTTCAAACAGTCTAAATTCTGAAAATTAACTTCTGAATAGTTCAGAGGGTGATGAAAAGCTTAAAGTAACAAGATTTAGGGGTATAGACATACAAAGGAAAACATCTTTTAGTTTACAGAAGCAATTCTTTTTTGAATCTTTCTAAATACAACCTTCGTCATGGAATTAAAGAACATTTTTTAATACTATGTTTCTGATCACTTATTATGTGATCCTGAATTTAATTAAATTTCAAGCATGCAGAGCTTCACTTTTTATTTTAAATTAAGTCCACATACACAATTAGAAGTAAAAACTTAGACATTGCACACATGTACTCTTCCATCCTTGTTTGCACATGTTCTTGCATGTAAGCCAAACACTTAAAGCTTTTTGCTAACTTTAGAAGCAGGAAACAAAAAGCCAAAAATGTCTCCTGAAGAGGAAGAAGAATTCTGTTATGCTGCTTGGCCTTATATATGATTTTGTCACAGGATTCTTAGGGTGTTGCTTTTCCAGCCAGAAGCCTCTGTAGCCAGGGGAACCTTTGCCTGAGTTTTGCTCAGGCCTCTTAGACTCCTTCTGCCCACTCGCCTTGGCAGGCTGCACTCTTCTCGTGTTACCAGCCCAAATCCCACAATTGCATAGGGCATGCCAGGCATGGAGCAGTGAGGGGTGC